TCCAAGCCAGTAATGTTGGAGCAACGACAGGAAAATCCCAGCTTGTCTGACCCAATAGTTGTTGACTTTAAAGCAGATTCGTCCAGTGAGGGCTCGTCTGGATCCAACCACCTCCAAGTGGTCAGAGAGTCTACCCCAGTCGAGAAACGCATCAAATTGCACAAGGATTCACCGCCGACCACGTTCGCTCATCCGACCAATTCCTCCGCTCAGCCGCCTAACATAGACAGAACAACCTCTTCGCCGCCTACCGCCTCCGCTGCCCAAATTACTGGTTCTGGCTCAGCAGATTCCCGGATCGAATTCCTAACCCCGCATTGTGTGTCTTCGGAGGGTCTTATTCAACCCTCACATGACGCGCTCTCGGAACCGCGTTCTTCATATCCGTCGTTGTCGCTTCCGGCTCAGCCAGTGGTGGAGGATTCAGAGGCAGTCAGGGCCTCTTCACGCAGTAAGGAACCTACCAAATTCTTCGGTGATCCCCTGCGTCACTCTATCAGGTTGGTTGAAGAGGCTCAAGTCAGTCAATCGCTTATCCGAGGGCCAACTCAGGATTCGCCTTCGGGAAGTGCTCCCTCTTTTCTGTCATCTCCACGGAAACCCCTCGTTAGAGACAGGCCCCAAATTGACATAATGGAGGTGTCCCCTGCTTCCTTCGCAGACGTTAACAAAATTCTTGATACCAAATGACTAGTCTCAGAATATGAAACTTTTCAAAACTCTGTTAACCTTTTTGTGCTTTACACTTGGTTTCATATTCTTTATCACCAAGCAATTGAGTGTGATAGGGATGCTATCAAGCTAATGCCTACCTGGGTGCAGTATATTTTCCTCATTAACAAATTTTGGAAAACTTTCCAAAATTTTTCCTCCCGCGGGGAATGTCATGAGGCGACCTTCGTTACCTCGCTTTCAACATGTTCTTTTCTCAGCTACGCTGCAGCCTTATAATTGTTAACACTAATCAAGGTCACTGATTGGCTATACTGAATGCCACGCTGTGCATGGTCACTCTGTTGTTTTGTTACATCGCTGTTAGATGTATTTTTATTTCTTCTGTCTCTATTTCCTCGGTTAAAGTTCTGACCCACAAAATACTAAATTGATACTGAGTATATAACGCTAACTCTTGCAACCAACTATTCAACTTATTTATCAATTTACATCTTACTAAACAACTAAGTTTTGATTCGTTATTTCTCGGCAAATGTCACAGTGCTTTTGATTTCATTTTTTTTAAAGTTTACTACAATGACATTTCGAACCTCTAACACTGCTTATTGGAATGTCAAAATAAACAATTGTGTGAAAACTCAAATTGAATCAAACGTTTGCAATCAACTGAAAACAAGATTGATAATTAATTTACCTTACAAAATGAAATTTGTTTTGCGTGTAGCAACATACCAACCTATACATATCAACCTATACATTTGCGCATTGAGGGTTGCAACGTACAAACTTGAGTAATCTTTTCAATGAGCAATTCCAGGCCAAAAAGCACTAAAATATTTTTGATGATTTGAAAACAAAAACTTGTCAAAAAGCACTAAAATATTTTTGATGATTTGAAAACAAAAACTTGTCAAATTAATACTCAATTGTGTTTCATCAACGTCGACAAGCAAGAGCAAACATTCAGCTGTTTTCCTCTCATCTACTGAAGGATCAAATTATCTGAATGGATGAAATAGCTTTTCATTATAAATACTGGAAGTTCTAACTTATCCGAAAAACTTCAACAGATTTTGGTTTTTTTTATCTGAAAAGCCCACAATATCCACAACTCTGAAAATGCTTCTGAGATAATTTTTTTGTTACAGGCTCAAATTGAGAAAAAGGAGTAAAATTTTGAGGAAAATTTTTTTCAAGTATTGAAAGTTATTCTCTTCAAACTTGAAAACCCTGTGAGCAATTATTTCGATAGATGCAGGTGCGATCAGGGACAATTTTTTGCAATGTAACATATTTGATTTGCATTAAACGTTTGCCCCATCTTGTTTATATTCAGTGCTTTTCAACTCCACTTCAAAATTGGTAATTTTGGGATTACCTTTTTGATAATTGCATGTGCGATCAGTGACCATAATTTTTTTTTCAGTTTTACAAATTTGATTAGCATTAAAAACTTGCAGCCATCTTGTTTTTACTCAGTGCTTTCTTTTTTTTTAAAGTTTATATTCATTTCAATTTTAGCCCTAACTAAGTTAAGCTTAATCTACTACATTAACCTTTCCATTATCTGAAGCTTATTCAACTTAATCGAACGTCCAGTTGAAAATTTGAATTGAAACTCATTTTTGAATCAAATATTTGCAGTCAACAGAAAACAAAATCATTAAGTAAACAAGAACTTACAACCTAAGTTTCTAGAATATACTTTTCGAGTCTATCTGTTAGCTGCTCATTTTTTTACTAATCTATAAATATGCGCAATCAAGATTGCAGCAGACAAAGTGCCCGGTTTGACCTCCACAAACTAAAACTTTTTATCTTACTCTTCCATACAGCAAAAAGTTTACAAAACAGTTTCAAACACGGAGTGTATGGAAAAAAACTCATCATACATTGTCAAAATATTGAAATTGTATGGCAAGTGTTTTTTACCTAATTGCAAAAAAATCCCAAGATTTTTAATGATTTTTTTTTTCAATTTTTAGTCGCAACATCACGTTCATGCTCAAATAAAGTTTTCGAAAAAAATTGCATGCTGAATTTTTCAAAGAAAAGAAACAAAGTTGACTAAGAGTTTTTGTTCAAATCAAAACTTCAACTTTCAGTACTTTTATATTGTAACACACACTTCAACTTGTCAAAAAAGCATGCCACTTTTATCGACTAGTAAAATTTAAAATTTTTTTTTAAAGTTTTTGATTACAGTACTGAGTGAATTGCGAAATTTTATCTCAAACCTTTATTACTCAAATGCCGAATATCTGCCAAATTTTTTGCTTTCCCTCAATGGCGTTTTTTATATTAAAAAAAACATCGTGGTTTTTCTATTTTTGGAAAGTATGTGTCTGAACTACGTTGAAGACAGTAAAATTCTTTTCAAATTTGTTTGTTTGTGCCTAAAAATAATTTTGCAACCAAGCAGTTATTATTTCTCCCAAACGTTTTCTTGATACCATTAAAATAGGGTATCAATTTTGAACGTCCTTAGACTTATTTTTTAATATTTTTTGATGTAGAAAAAAAAACGCTTTTTCTGAAAAAAATTCTGGCCATACAGTTTTCATTTTATAAAATTGTATGGCTAACGTTTTCTCAAAAGTTCAGCTTCTGAAGCTGTGTGATCAGCATTTACTTTATATAAATTTCTACCTATGTAGTTCAAGGTGTATTAAAAGACTTGCAAACCAGGGTTCAATTGTTTTTATTTGATTTTTTTTTCTAGCTATTGCTATTTTTGTTCACGTTTGAACTGGCGCTAAATGTAGCTCCAAAAATTTTCCATTCGACGAATCTAATGAAGAGTTGCGATGTAAATGTAATGAATTTTTTTACAATTACTGTTGCAGATTCCGCGGTTCATTTTTGGTCCGCAAAAAAAATGTCCACTAACCAGTATTTTGTTGTGGATTCTATCACATTTTGGTAAATTAAATAACGGGGGTTGAACACCCTGATTTTTGATTCATCTAATCAAAAAAATTGAACAGCAGCTCTTGAAAAGGTACAGTTTGATTGTAATGTTTAAACGAATTTCGCTTTTTTCACCGGTTAACTTTGAAAGCAATTATTTACAAGAAACTCAGCTTATAATATATATTTTTTTGATTCATCATTCCTTGTCAATTTATCTTTTGCACGAGATCCAAGAATTGTAGCCACAATACTTCAAGTCTACCGTTATCTGCTGAAGTCTATCCTTTCGAATTATCGCAGCAAAAAATAATTTGTTATGTTAAAATTTCAGTCAAAATTGCTTGTTTTCATATTTGTTTTGTGTCAACCACCCTCACATTTGAGAAAAAATTAAGACCAAGAAAGTAGTGCTTTTACAATTAAGTCCAAGATAGTAGTTTTTTTATCAGTTTGAAGTCCTTTGAATATTTAATTGATTTTCGCAAAAATTTTGTTGCCAAAAAACACGGATCGGAGTATTTCCGTTTTCAGAATTAATGTCCATTGTGCGAATGTAATAAATATTCAATCATTAGTCTAGCTAGTATCTGAGCTGTTCAGTGCTTACAGAGATCCGCTGTTGTGCCTCTAGTTAAGAAGCCCATGTTTTTTTTGGGTGAACATATCTGATTGGCTACGGATGTTTCACCCTCAAGCAACCAGGACGGACCTTGATGAATCTAAAACCACAAAACTTTCGACCGATCGTGAACACTTAGCGACCGATCAAAACGTGCGAAAGTCAAAAACTCAATAAGTTGTGCGACAAAAACGGGTGGCTTAATTGGTTCAAATAGGTGTCCAGCAAATTTTCTCAAAACAAACGCTCAACAATTTTTAGTACGCTTTGATGACTAGTTCTTAGTTGTCAGCCATCTTTAACGACCATTCTCGAAGAGTGGAGAGAAAATATAGATTAGGCTGCGTTGTCGAAACTGTTTTCAGCCAATTTTTGCTACCTAAAGTTCTGATAGGGCTATCATACCAATGCCTTATTGGCCGTGATGCGAATTATGAAAAGGTTAACTCAGTGTCAAAAAAATGGTCAAGTATTTTCAATTTTCAGACCTAATTAGACTAAATTTGCTGAGAGGCTAGCCTCCCAAGTTTAGTGGTTTTTACCTCTCTTCCTTGCTTTTATCACCTAACTCAATTGCATTTTCTAGAACTCAAATAACAGACAACAAGACATTCTTTCAATCTTTTCAAAGTTTTCTCTCTATTTTTGATTTTCTTTTAAAATTTGGTCGGAACATTCTGTGCTATTTGCAAACAACGGCTATCCTTGTTACAATGCGACAAACTGTTTTTTTTTTCTAGTAACGCCTATTGAAGTGATGTTGAAAAAACGCGTTTGATGAGAGGAAAATTTAATCATTAATAACAAGATAAATGACATCAGTTTTATAAACAGTTTTCAGTCTGACACAAGCAATTTTAGGAAATGTGTAATTAACAAAAATAATGCGTTTTTGCTTTTTCTATGAAATTTAGTATAGCAGTTCGGTGCGTTTTATTTGAAACATTAATGCTTTGTAGTTTGTACCAAGATCAGTTTGTAAAGTTTATCTGTGAGCGAACTCCAGTCTGCAATTAATATAGACATCTTCTAGCTACTGTGAGTGGAAATGATAGAGTTCGTCTGGCTATAAAACTATAGCATATCTTGTTATCGATGAATCTAGTTTTCCTCCTAGTTTAAACTGGGGACATCTCGTTTTTCTGCAACAACTTCGCATATTCCATATTGCGGCCTCCGCCTGCGCCGCCGTTCATCTGTGCGTCCTCAATGTGCAAAACAGCGTCGTGGAGAGATGGGAAAATGTTTTCCATTCCAAGTTTATCAACAAACTTTTCGTTCTCTAGTTTTTCAATGATTCCAAGTTCGGGAAGAACGATCAAAAATTGAATTTTCTGACTTCGGCAGTAGAGAAGTATAGATGAAAGAGCAATAGCACCCGAATGGTCCACGAAATTGAAGGGGGTTCCGTCAACGACAAAGAATCGGAGCTCGCCTTCATTCTGGGCTTTGGTCCCATTCGCGATCTGTTCGCCGCTGGCTTCACCCTGTCGCTTTGCGATTTCCTCTTTGGCCGCTGAGACGAACAGGTCGGCGTTTGAGAAGTAGAGAGACATGCCGAATCGAAATATGAGAGTCTCCGGGATCCTGAAAAAGAAAATAATACAATACTAGGCTAAGCACTGTCGTCAGTCGAGCACTAGCTAGTTTTCCGTGCATACTCCAAAACTCTATAATTGCCTCGAATTCAATTCCGCAAAGGTCACATTTTCCTTTTAATCTTTCTTTGACGTAAAATAGAATTCATGGTCTGATGTCTTGAACATTGGCCCGAATTCTCAAGGCAAGTATTTTCTATATGATTGCATTTTTAAAGACGAAATTCTAGAGAAAACCCGCGGAAAGAAACAAAGATCACCTTGTTTTATTCGAGAGAAAAAACATCGAAAAACTCTAATAAATCTGCTTTCGTGGACTCGTCTTTTTCAGAGTTTTCTTACTGTATTAGCATATATTTTGCAATTCTAATCATCGAAGATTAACATGCAATTGTGATATGAAATTGTTTAACTTTCGCTAATGGACTTACTTTCGCATCTTTTCATAAGCGGTCATCGCCCTGTATTTGTCAGTGTCTACAATCTGTGCCATCTCGTAGTGTTCGGGCATCTGGGATCTCCAGAGCACAGAGAGGAGGGAGAGGACGATTCCGACTACGAGGCCACAGGTGATGTTGAGGAGGACGGTGGAGAGACCAGTCACTGTCCAGCAGATGAAGTCATACTTGTCACAGGCGAACAGAGTCTGAAACAGGTGAATAAACAACTCCACATAAAAAAAAAAAACTTTTTCATATAGAACACATTTTTAAACTATGTTAAGATTCATTGCTGTAAATTATAACCCCTAATTTATAACTAATTGCACAGATTATTTCGACTAACCGGCAGTTCCTTGGCCTGTAGGAAGAAAGACCGCAGAGTTATAATGATGATGGCACCCAACACAGAGTAGGGCAGAGAGTAGATGAGCGGACCCGCAAACAGCAACACAATCACCATCAGAGCGCTGAAAAACATAGTTTATTTTCAGGGTGATTGTAGCGGTTTAGTTTTAATTACATTTCGATAAGTTAAACAAGATTGAAGCAGTCTGCGCTAATTGCAGAGCAACCCACATTTTGCTAAACTCAAGTTGAAGTCTGATCATGGTCTAAATATGATCTGTTAGAAGCGCCGAAAACTTATCAGCTTGATTAATGACTATTTGAGGTTATAAACTATTGAGGTTACCTGGTGATGAGGCTGGCCACTTGTGTGTGTCCTCCCACCTCACTCTGCAGGTTGCTCCTAGGAGGGGAGGCCGCGCTGGAGAAGCAGCCGAAGAATGCGGTCACTATGTCCACAAAACCCAGTGCAATCAACTCTTGGTTGTTGTGGATTGGGTGACTGTGCTTCTACAACCCACATGATCAACAAAAATTATGTTTGAACATGAAATGAAGTTTGTACAATAACAGAAAAAAAAACTACTGCAGTGGGTTTATCTACTTTATATTAGGTTGCGGCAGTACTTCAAAAAGCTCAATGTAAATATGGGCCAAAATCTGAAGAGTCAGCGACCCTCATAGCAGGTGAGGGGGGGGGGGGGGAATTGTACGAATAATAGTGTATTACCTGAGCGAGTAATTTAGCGAGTGCGAGTGTGATGGCGAAAGAGACTAGAGCGATGGGGATGGATGCCGTGATGATGGGGGAGAGGGTGGAGGGATGTTTAATGACTGTGCTTATTGCGGCAGTAGAGAAGCCCGGAAGACCAGTGGGCACGACTCCGATTATCTAAATAGAACAGCTCGCTTCAAAAAACCATATACCAATTGTTGAAATTTAACTTTTCGTAAGACTTTTTGAAAAACGAAGACTACTCGTAGCAGACGTAACTTCCAAATTCTGAAACAAAAGTGATTACAAAAAGAATAAAGCAAAATTTTTTTTGCAGAAAAAACCCTTTTGCAAAATGATAAGTCCGACGCCAATGCTAACTACTACATGCATTCATTTCATTAAGCTTTAGTTAGTAACCATTTGAAAAAAAAATACACGTGGTGCAAATGATCAAACCATTTACTGAAGCCCGGTTCCTTAAGAAATCTTTTTAGCAGGAAAAAAGTGAGAAGCCCTTTTGAAGACTGGTCGAAAAATTGTGTTGTGTTGGCATAGCATCACTTACCTCTAGGTTGAATTTATCGTGGAAATTTCCAATTGCCGACACAATAGTAGCAATGATGACGATGATCAGCTCAGTGGGGACGGGAATGCCTCTTAGATATGACTTGTACTTCTCCAGCAGAAAGAGACAGATGTAGAGAACGATCGCAGTGGTCAAACCGAAGGTGAAAGAGCAGATGTTAGTGTTGGGCAGGTTCAGAATGATATCTAAAATTCAAGCACGTTTCAACACAAGCTGTTGTCAAATTTAAATGATCACTTCCGCATCTAATAAACTTGCATTTGTTATAATGAACAACATTTTAAGTCTTTTTCGAAGAAGTTTAAGACTAAGAAACTGAAATTGATAAGCTTTTGCTTCATTCCTTAAATAGGTGCATTATGTTTCTTTTAAGAAGTTTTATTTAAGATTCCGCTAGCTATGAAATGCACTTTATATGTACTATGGTGAAGACATTGGCAATTAGAAGCAACTAACCTCTCCAGGTGAGTATGAGACAGCCAGGATCCACGTACTTGGCAATCTTCATTCCTAGTACCTTGATCACCTGGGAAGTTCCAATATGGAAGGCCACTCCGAAAGTGAAGCCCTTGACGAGACTGACAGAGAAGTAGCTGCCTACAAAGCCCAGTCTACAAAGACCCAGAATCAACAGAAATATTCCCGAGAAGAAGCAGATGCTGGACGATATCTCGATTAGCTGTTGGGTCACTTCTTCTGGAGTTTTGACAGGGGCGACGAATTCCGTCGTTGCACCAGTCATGTTTGACTTAGCGAGCCTAAATTTTACCAATATTAATAAAACTTCAGAAGCATACCCAACATACAGTTGGAAATATGCTGTACTAAAAGAAATCGAAAAGTTTTTTTTTGTATGGCCAATTCAATTTTCTATGACCATTAGAATTCTCTATATATAGAAACAACTTCGCTTCAGAGAAATAAATTGAATAATTTTCGATAACGCACCAAAAATGTTGAGACCATTTCAGTTAAAAATATCAGAAGACAACTTCAACGAATGATAAACACTATGCTAATTTAATAGAGTTGATACTTACTGCATCTTCTGGCTTTCCTCCGATTCTATTATCTCATTGATAGTCTGTATAGAGAATCCGACCATCATTGCCACAGGGGCGAAAGTGGCCACTGAGATGTGTCTGGATGTGCCGAATAAGATGTACACGATGGGCGCCAGAAAACCCATGTAGATTCCTATCACAGGAGGCATACTCGCCAGAGACGCGAACGCCATTCCTGTAAATTTAATATTTGAAGGTTGCAATACATCATGAAAAAAATGCACTTCTTTTTCGAATTTGTAGAAAAAACTGAAAAATTTGTTCTTTCAATTTTCCATTCAAAATTAACCTAAAAAAATAAGGAACATGAAGCTTAGACGATTTTACCCCATAATCTGAAAAAAATGCGTTCTGACAGATATTAGGAGATCCAAGTTGAAGAGTCAAATAAACAACCTATTGTCACTCACACAGAAATTTGAAAGGTTTCTTTTATATTCAATTGAAACGTCAGAAGCTCAAAAAATGGACGAATACCAAACAAAAAATTGATTGGTTTTGTTCATTCGTTAAAATAAGATTCCTATGGTTTGAAATAGGAATAGTTTTGGGCCTGATTAGGTCTTTTTAATCGCCAGTAGCCTCATTTTACAAAAATTAGCTAATTATTTAAGTTGAGTGACGAGTAAGTTACCTTGAGGAATGCTGAATGCGGCCAACGTGAATCCAGCAACCACATCTCCAGCTATGAAGCTTTTTTTGTAGTTTCGAACCAAATCGATGCAGGAGAAAAAGGTGAAAATGAAGTCGAAGGAGCACTTCGAGTAGCCCTTCTTCTGCTTTTCACGAATTCTACCATACACGTTCTCAAACTCTCCTTGATTAAGATGAACCATTGTGGAATTGGCTGAAACTGAAGCTAGAAAGCTGCTAATTATTTTGACACCAAACTGTTTCCAACCGAAATATTTTGAGTTGTGATAAATATCGTTTATCTTATTGCGAGTGGTTTTCGCTTGTTGATTTAGTTTTCCTACCGTGTTGTTTTAATTAACAGGATATCGTGAAAACAAAACAAAGTTAAGTTCAAAACTGGTTAATTTGTATGAAATATCCGTGTTGTTTTAGCGGGTTGTTTTAATCTTCCTAGCGTGTTGTTTTAATTAACAGGAAATCGTGAAAACACAACAAACTTAAGTTCAAGGTTTCAAAATTTTGATGAACTTTTCAACTTTATTCACAATTTATACTATAAGCTGGCTTCCGAAATCAAATAATATTGAACCTATGGTACCCGCAGTAGCAGATGGGGGGAGACTCTTTTTAGGTGTTCGAGCCCCTACTGTCCAAAGGGCCACCCTTTGATGCTATTTTCAGACATCCATTTACAGCCGATCGAATTAAGATTTTCTGAAGGCGCCTTCAATGCCAATATATATTAATTGTGAAGGGGCAGCGCACTCCGAAAGACCCAGGCTTTGGTCAAAAGATTGACAAAACTTATCAAACTTTTTTGAAAATCCGACCGCCCTCGAGAAAACTCTAGCTGCGCGCCTGGTTACCTTTTAATGATTCTTTTAGATTACTAATACTTGAAATACCTGTGGTAGTGGTACATATTGAAGTGAGTAACTCGAAGAGGTGTACTTAGGTTATTTGACGAGAGGCAGACTCCAAAATTTTGTCGTTTTTTTTTGGTCAATCAAAACTTCGAAAAAAAAAATCAAAAACGACATTTTCTCTAAAAAAAATTCTTTGCGGAGCAGAAAAATTTCCAATCATCGTCCTTCTAGGGTTTCAAAAGTTCCTGGCCCAAAAAAGGCCGACAAACTTACCTAAACCGCCACATCCCCTCCGCCGTCTAAAAATCCCGGCGCACACCACTGCACTGACCCTGGTTGTATATGATTGACTAAAAAAAGATCCATTCCGTGTTCAATGAAAATTTCATTAGCAATGAATTTGAATTGAAGTCCTTGACATTTGCAGTACTAGAACTTTGTACACCAATTCATTCTTAGTTTATAATTAACGCTTTCATATGTACAGTTTATCTTCGTTGAAGCTTAATTTTTCCAGCTCAAAACTTAACGTCGCCTGTGTAAATAGTTAACTTCTGAAAATGTTGTTGCAATGAGAATCTCAATGACTCTCGTTTCAACTAACATTTTCAGAAGTGCACTACTTATACAGGTGAAGGTAAGCTTTGAGCCACTTGTGATGCAACAATAATCACTATGGCAGAAAATATATATCAAAACAAATTTAAATTATTTCACAAAATTAAACTAAAAATTAAAACTCAAAACAAGGATACCCGGTTACTGTGAGGTAGCACAGAATGTTCCGATCAGTCTTTAAAATCTACAATTTTTTTCAAATAATGAAGTTATTTTTTTGCGTGATTTGATAAAAGGATCTGACGTAAAATTATAATTTAGGCATAATCGACAGTCATAGTATTATAGGCAAAAAGGACAACAGTTTTTAGAAAAATAAATGACTAACGGCATAAAATAAGCACACATAAACGTGCTCGCTCGCTTTACTCGCTCGAATATAGACAAAAATCAAAAATTTCGAACCCATTTTTCTTGACACTGAAAAAAAAAACTTTCTCTAAATTTTTTAACGTCGTTCAAATCACGACTAAAAAGGCTTTAATATGATATATCACTAAACTCTCTCCGATGAGTAATTGTGGTAGCTAATTTTGCGTGGAAAACAAAAACTAAAACACATCCGAATACAAAGTTCCTGCCCATTTTTCCAATAGTCGGAACAATGAAAAAGCACTATTGCCATGGAATTTATTGCAAGCATGAAAACTATTTTTAAATCTAAATAGTGTCATATGATGAAATCATACTTTCGATGCTACAGAAAAACTGCATTATGGTTGGTAGCAGCTTCAAATTATGAACGAGAAAATGGAAGACACTATCAAAAAACCTTGGAATGATAAAAATTGATTTTAAAAACGTTCCGAAATTTTTGTTAAGCCCAAATACAACTATTTCAAAACAATCTTGATGATAGTTCTTTTGTATATCGCTAAGATACGGCGTTGAATCATGTTAAAATAAGGAAAAAAAGAAAAGTTCAATACATAGCAACCAAGTTTAATACAAAAAAAAAAGAATTTTTAATACAAAACCAAGTTTATTACAAAAAAAGAAGAGTTATGTTTAATACGTAACATCCAAAAAATCATGATCGTTGGTACACAAAAAAACAATAATTAAATCATAAAAAAACTAGCTCAAACTAGCTGAAAGAAATCAATCGAGCAAAAACTGCAAAAAATGAATCAGGATTTTTCAGTAGAAATTATTAAAGCAAAAAAGTTATTTAAAGATGATTTCCAGCATGGTGATTGCGCTTCACAATTTTAAATTAAAATAAAAAAAACTACCAAAAACGTGAAAAACAAGCTAACCACACCATTTCTCAGCAAAAAAATTAATGTTCAAAACACTTTTTCGTCTAACTCTCAGAAAGCTCAACTCAAAACAAAAGAATTAGCATCCTATGTTTTTCCGCCAAATATTTCATAGCTAAAAACAAGCTTAAAATTGATAAAACAGCGAAGCTTCGCAAAACTTGCAGTACGACAGAAACATCGCAATACAAGTGAGCGAATAAAAAAGACACAGAAGTAAAAAAAAAATTTTGGTAAATTTCGAACACACTTCTACAAAAACTTCATGTTTATCTTGGACGGTATTCACAATCTGCCTTAAAAAGCCTTACCAATCATTCATCGAACAATAATTATTGGGTCGATCTCCATGAAGCCGAAAACAAGAATACACAGAGGCGATGCTGCGCTTCGCAAACACTAACAAGAAAAAGTGAAAGAAAACAGCTCGCTCCATAAAGCAGAATAAAAAAACTAGAAACGTCCTCGAGTTTGTAAAACTAAGCCGAAATTTACAGACTTCGAGTCTCACGTCCTTACCTTTCAACGCTCATCAAACACTAGCCACAAATAAAGCAGAGAACAGATGCTATGAAAATTCCAATGCTACAGATCGTGCATATAAGTTCCACCAAATGAGCACTTTTGTTTGCGAGTAAAGCTGAGAAAATTAGAGTCGTACTAATACACTACGCTCGCAAGCTCTCGAGGGTAAACATGAAAAAGTTTTGCGCTAAAACTGATACCTCCTGAAACATAAAATATAGCCAACAGACAGTTTAGAGACAAAGAACAAGGAAAAAAATCATCAGCACCTATTTAAGAGTCTGAAATACGAAATGAAAACACCTTAAAAATTGGTTCCGAAACTAAGCAATCTAAGTTGACTGAGCCAATATAAAAATAAGCCGAAACGGATTAATAAAACAAAACAAAAAAATATTCTAAATCAGAATTAAAAAAATACAAATTACGGTAACTTTCAACTATAGTAGAAACAGTTAAGAAACCCACGCTTTGGAAAGCCACTAAAAAGCGTTCCAGATTATACAATTATTTTTCGAGATAGAATACGTAAATTGAGCCGACTGAAATTAGCACAGAAACCATGAATCCGAAAAAATCCAACATCCTTTCATAAAACTACTTTAAAAAATTGAACATAGCTAACAGAGAGTGGAAAAAGAGTGGATGAACTCAAGAAAACAGAGCAAAAGTAGAGATAGAAGCACTGAAATAATAAAATGGCCAGTAAAGCGGAACGCATTTTATCCGGTGTAGAACGATCAACAAAGAAAAATTCTTCTTTATCAGACCCAACATAGTGAGCTGACAATTGTAAATTTTAACTTAACTCTTAATTTTAGATCAAGTGATCTCAGGATAAAAAGAAGAAAGTAAAGCAAAGAATTGATTAGTTGTAGCTTCGACTTTACAATCTATGCAGAGGTTATCAAAAATTGCAGCTCCTTAGAGCAACGTTTTTTGATAAGAGGAAAAAAGGTTGTGTCCTTTAGTTTTTGAGGCGAAAAACTAAACCAGTAGCAGGCATCAAAAAGGAAAGTTGCGTTTTTGTACTAGCCTGTCACGTACAAATTTTAGCGTGATCAATATTCAAAACTTTTTCTTAAAAGAAAAAATCAGGATAGCCAGTTCCTGTTCAATTAGCACAATGTTCCGACCATACTCTTTTTCATATTTTTTTTTTCCAAATTAGAAATGGATTTTGTGAATCATGCGATACAAGAATCTGATTTAGAAACATAAAAATTAGGCATATTTGATAGTCACAGTAAAGAGAACAAATCTCGACAGTGTGACAATTTTTGCAAATTTTTCAAAAATGTTCAAATCAAGGCTGAACGGGATTTAATATGAGATATCACTCCATCCATTACAATGATAATTTGCGGTAAATTTTTCGATGAACAGCTAAATAAGCCTGCTCGCTCACCTGATTCGCTCGAAATTAGACGAAATTCAAACTAACTTTTCTCAAAACAGAAATTTTTTTCCAATCTTTCAAAAATTTGTTCGAATCACGATCGGAGAGGCTTCAATATGATATATCATTCGACCCATCCCGATGATTATTTGTGGTACCAAAAAACAAAAAATTTAGAACAAATTTTTTTTTGTTACTTGTACTTGAAAATTAAAAAATAATAATAAAACACACCAATTTCAATGGTCGGAACAATCGTCAAAACTTATATACGAGTCTTCACTACATTCATTAAACTTAAACAAAAGCAAAACTGTACAGCCCTTTCATTACAAAAGTTTCAATTTACTCTCGATATTCAGTCAATTTACTTTTTTATATTCGAAAATGAATCTTAGAAAATGTTGCAACAATCAAACCGACAAATATTTTATGCTACTGGATAGGGTCCTGGACTTTCTAAAATTAACAAGAAATTCATAGCCTGACTTAAAACTTCTTTTAAAAAGTAAGTAACGAAACAGAGTCAATTTACTCTCGATATTCAGTCAATTTACTTTTTTTTTATATTCGAAAATGAATCTCAGAAAATGTTGCAACAATCAAACCGACAAAATATTTTATGCTACTGGATAGGGTCGTGGACTTTCTAAAATTAACAAGAAATTCATAGCCTGA